AAACATTCACATATAAGGATTCAAATAAAAAGAATAATTTTTGAATTCTGAACAATAAATTGGCACCCTTTGCACTTATATTTTATAAGTGAAATAATGTTTGATCAGTAATAATTTGTGCAAATCAAAATTTGATTGGAAATTATAAAAGTCGTAATTATATTGATCTTATGATATGATGGATCGAATAATATTGTTGCAGCAATCCGTTTTAAGATGATATTACATTTTTTAAAAAATTTTATTTAACGAATACAAATATTGACTGGTCGCCACAACTAAGCAGGTGATGCTGCTATTTTAAGTTTCTTTTCTGAAGAATTAATGTGAATTTCCTACAACGCTTAAGGAAACTTGACCTGAATTTCAAACTTAAGTGTTAAATTACTGATTCATCATAATGAAAATTCTAATAGATATTTCTTAACAATTCAACTCATTCACTGTTTCCACTTATATTAATGTTACTAAATTACGTAAGGAAATAATTGGATCTTCTAGGTTCCAAGTGGCGAAAACTTAGAGACGAGCAGAACGGACAAATATTAAAAAAAAGAAATGTGAAGTTGATAATTTTTTAGTGCCATTATTTTCTTGCAGCATTTATAGCGCCAAAAGTTTATATACATTGAATAAGTAAATAGCTATGCAATTGTTGCACTTATTGTTGAAATATCGGCGGAACTTTTCATTGCTCTGAAATTAGCTGAAATTTCTTCATTCTTTTGCAAATGCAATATTTGTTTTTGTTGGGTCAGCAGATGCAAACTTTTGTTGCGAAACTTTCTTCTGTTATTGTTTAATTAATCAGTGGCAAAATAACGAAGTTTAAAAATTTCTAACATGTGCAAAAGCATAACTTCTCCCAGGAATTATTTGTCAAAGCATTAGCTTTCTAATTATATTATGGCACTTTTGATGCTTTCTAAAATTCCTGTAGGCCTTTTCAGTGTAAATATCAATAACTTTGTAGTCGGAAAATTAATAAATTAAGAATTTATGAATAAATCAGATATCACTACAAAACGAAGTGATAAGAAATAATTCTTCTTCTTCCATTACAACACTATATAGCATTATTACTAATTGTCATCTAATTAAGTAAGGCGCAAAAGAAAAAACAAGGATTGGACAGAGCTTTTTTACTGCTGTAGTGATACTTTTCTCATTTTTTTATTACTTCCACAAATAATAAACTAAGAAAAATAAAAAATAGTTGTCAAAAAAAAGTAATTTTGAGAATTTTTTCACCAAAAAACGGATACAAAAATTTTTAATTTAATGAAGAATGTAAACAGATTGTAGATTTTGCAGGATTAAAGGATTTTTGTTACATTTCTTCAAAAGAAAAAAGGAAAGAAAATAAAAGAAGACAAATATGTCAGAATTGGAGGCTACAATTGCTGAAATTTAATGAGAATCTTCTGGAGGATTGTTTTATCAATATTACTGCTGAAAACTTAGAAGTCGGAACACTAATTTGATCAATCAAAAGCTGATCGAATGATAAGTTGGATCACCAATGTAATAGCAAATCATACGGCTTTAAAACATAGGAATATATAGCACTTCTGGAAACAGAAGAATGATAAAATGATAAGAAAGATTAAGTAGAAGTTTTTACACAATAAGTTTTTTTTTTTTTTTACAAATAATTCTGTTTGTGAAAAAGAGAGAAGGAAAAGGAGAGAGAGAGAGAGAAAGGGGAAAAGAGAGCATTTTACATAATAGCATAATTAAGAAAATCAGTTTTATCTCAAATCAAAAAAGAGGACGAAAAGAGAAATGAAAGAAATGCAGGCGATGCAATTTTGTTAAGAAATGAAGAATTCGCTTTGCTTGATACTTATGAATGACTGAGATATTTGGAATTAATTGATCATAACTTTCATCTAAGGTATTTTTTCCTTGCAAATTCAGTACTTCTTATTGTGCGAACAGTCAAATTACATTAATTATATTTAAATTAGTATTTTACTTCTTATTTGCAAGTAGTACCTTATTTTTCTGTTCTTTAAAAAAAAAAAAGTTTCGTTTGTTTATCAATTTGTCGTTTTAAAATTTGTTTTGCTTTTATGCATCAATCAGTCCTTTTTTATATGAATTCTTTTTTTTAAATAATTTTATTTTTTCTAAAATTTTGTTTAGTTGCACTTATTCACTGCCATAATTAAAATTCCTTTCCTATGGTTATGATAATTCATTTTCTGAAATATTTTAAATTAATATAGGAAATTTCTAGATTGTCAAAATAAGGAATTTAAAATATTGATCTAACTAATCCTTTTTTCAGAAAAATGGATTATCATAACCATATCAACTATTATTTAATGATATCATTAAGTTATCACTTTGTTGATTTGATCTGTTATATTTGAAATATCTAAATGACACTTATGGAATCAATTATGTGTCATTAATTAATAATAGATCTGTATGAGCGTAGTAAGTGATTCTTCCATTGGGTATCATTAAGCAGTATTAACCAGATTATCACACGCAATTTGATTATTCAGATAGCTCAACCTTGTGAATCCCATAATCACAGTTTCATCAATTTCTCCTGTACTATTTCATTTTAGTAAAATTGAAGTTCGGGTGTACATATGGAAGTTATCTGATAATGATTATTTATGTATATATGTATCTATAGTTTCAGATTTCTTATTGTATTTCATCGGCATATTTCTTTGTGTTCTGTACCACTATGATAACACGAACGGCGATACAGTAATGTCATAAGCAATAGCGTACAGTAATACCGTACTTTTAACAGGAAACTGTTTTCATGCAATTAACTGAACTGTTACTTCACATTTCAAATTTAAAACATAAATGAAACAGTGGGAATAATAATTCCTAATAATTAAAAAAAGTGCAATTTTTATCCCTTCAATCAGTTAATGCTATATATGTTATATACCCAAGAATTCATAACAAAAATATCAATTCGGAAAATCTTTTCTAAATTATATAAATGTGAACTTTATAAATACATTTTAATAAATAGATTTATCTTGCATTGCGCAATCAGTTGAATTTTATTAGGAAAGGAGCACGCAAAATTTTTGGAATTAAAATTTTTTGTGGGCGGAAGGAATCATTAACAGACGAAGCTTGAAATAGAGCTTTCTAGTCATGTTGAAGAAAAATCATTGGAATTTTTTAGAAAACAAACGGTATCGGCCAACAAGAGTCACACCAGTGAAAGTTTTTCCTTTCATCATGAATGGATTCTGACATTTTCTTCCTCACCTTTGTTATTAGCAAACTGCTAACTTTCATCCGATAATTTAAAATGAGTCATTTATTCGAATTCAAAAAATTTTAAATGGACTATTTGCTCAATTTAATAATATTCATATAAAAAAGAACGGAAAAAGTAATTTTTTTAAAAAATGGAACTTTTTTAAAGATTTTATGAGACTGAAGTCGCATTCCATTGTAATTATGATAAAAATAGTAGTAATAGTAATGATATAGAGGAGAATTACTTAACTCCGCCTGTACGCATCCATTTTAATATTTTTTGCATTTGAATTTCATGAGGACTTAATTTGATTACCTAATTTTGAACACCAACTACAATTAAAGTCAACAGTTAAAATCGATATGAAAAAATTGTTTCTGCATAAGAGAGTCTCAGCCAAAGAGCTACTCTATAAAGTACAAACACAGTAATCAAAAATTTCTAGTCAAGTACTGCAAAACATACCAAATTGGTCAGGTTAATATGTTAGCACACAGAAAATGATATGCAAATTTTTGTAAGTATTTCTTCTTATCTCTTATCTTGTTTTCTCGTAGCTATTAAAACGTTTTATTCATGTAAATGTTGTTAATAGTTGTATCCCATATCAATATTTCTGTGAATCCTTTTTTTTTTTTTGAAAAATTCTTAAATCGACATTGTTAATGAAAACTTCATCAAAGAGAAACATCTGAACACAGGTGAACTAAGTGAAAATTGCAAATAAACGCTTAGAGCAGTCTATGAATTAAAATAACCACAAATATACATCATAATGTTTAGGCTATTTATCTCCAAAAACGGCATATAGCATTGAACAATTCGCAAGACTAATTTTTTCCCCTGCTACTTCACCCAGATAGCGCCACGAAATGAAACTTCAAATTTGAAGACGTAACAACTTTAAAACTTCGATATAATATATAATATAAAACCAGAGCAAATAAGACTATCCAATTTGTAAATTTAATTTTTCTTCTTCAAAGTAACGAATAAATCAAGTTTGCACATATTCTATAAAATCGTCTGGTCAAAAAGGTTGTTTGATGGAAAATTTTAGAATCCATTTAGCTATATGCACAAATCTACATAAAATTTGTTCAAAGATTATAAAATGTGAGTGTTTTTAAAACGATAAACAACTCATTCCTTCTGTAGAACAATTTATGCAAATCACAACAAATTAAATTAGCAAAGAACCCTCATGCTAATAATCCTACATTGAGACAGAAAAGAAAATACAAACACCTGAAACTATTTTATTTATAAGATATTGCAAAATAATAAACAATAACGGGTGACAGACAATAAAGAATATGATAAAATGAATAAAAAACAAACAATTCTGAAACCAAGATGAAAACGCAAATTGTTTACAAATGGAGAAGCACTAATCGAACCTAATAGATTGCGAAGAAAATGTAAGGGTATTCACACTTTCAACAAAAATTGTTAAATGAAGGTTTTCGAGTACTGGAAAAAGAAGTGAAATCATAGATAATTTGAAAATTTACCACACTGCACAAAAATGACATTAGAGCAAAAGCTCTGGAAAAAATCTGAATTCCTGCATTTGATTTAAGAATCAAAATAAAATATGAGAGGCAGTGACTTTTAAAGGTAAATTTAATTTTCTCGGTGGTAGTCACAAATCAAGAATTTTTCCGTTATCAAAAACAAAAAAAAAAAAAAGGAATCACAAAACATCGGACTGTGACGAGAACATTGTGATATTTGACCAAAGAAAAACTTAATCATTAAGTATAATATCAGTATCCACAATATCCAGCGCCGTTTCCGCATCATCCAATAACTTTTCTACCGTATCACAAATGCGATAATAATCAGCTAAAGATTTCTCCTTAATTTTGAACAATCTTGTCGCAACATGTTCGGCTGAAAGGTTTCTAAGATATACTTAAAAAGTGCTATAGGTTCCTAAAACTGTAAGGACATCAGAACAAATTAAGAACAAACTGTGTTAAACCACACTGCCATCTCTTATAAAATGACTTAAACACTGAGTTCATAAAAATATGCCTCTATAAATTGAATCTATAAATTTCACGAAATTTCATACAGCAGATATACCTTTCAGAAAAAAAAAAATTCTGATATTTAAAGTAAAACTACCAACTTACATAATTAAGCAAGAAACATTTATTGCAAAGTTTGGCTGAAAGTGAAACGAAAGCACGAAATATAAGATGGCAGTTACCAAAAGTAAGCGACGAGTCAGAATCAACCACTGGTTGTTTCGTTGACAAATGTTCGACAGCTTGCGGTTTTTGTACTCCATTTATTTTCCTGAACGAGGTATTTGCAGATCTTGTTGCAGGAATTCCACAGCGGTATTTAGACGGTAGTACGACACCACTTGGTTCGGGGGAATAGATATCTCTTCGATGTCTTCCACGGCGACGAGTCGACAACATATGTTCTTTTATCTCCGCAGATTCATTAGGTTCCGTATACTCCGAATCACTTTCAACTGTTTCCCTTAGGGTGGCTTCAAGTTTTGCACGAGCAGCAGCTCTTGTACGATTATACGAAATTTTATTCCCATTACGAGTTCCAACAAAAGTACCATTAGCCACAGGTGATGCTGTTGGTTGCACCACATTTGCATCCCTCAAAGCCTCACGTTTTGCTTTCAAACGTGCTCTAAAATATTTCTCGCAAGTCATGAAAGATAAGAATTCTACGTGTATCTTAACCATATTTCGTTATAACAGATAGTTTCCGTGGCGTCTAACAAAAAAAAAAAAAAGAAAAAAAATTGATGAAGACATGTTTTTCTGAAAAAACAAACTTCTCAGATTCTTTTGTTCTTGGTGTAATACAAATCACACGCTGAGCTTCTTGTTTCGTAATCGTGGTATTATTGACAAAGGCTGCTTCATAATTGTTACGCATTTGAATCTAATAAAAAAAAATATATAGTTGAGATTATAATGAAAAATAATACAATTATGATATACTTTAAAAAAAAAAGAATAATACAAGAATAATGAATACTAACCAAAACTTCATCATCCTGAGCAACAAGAGACTCACCAGTACGTGGAATCTAAAAATTCACTTTTCCATTAATTATAACAAAACCCATTATTCATGCAACATATGTAAACAATAAGATCACAATCAATCTTGCATATTAAAGCCCGGGATTCCTAGTCCCTTCATGTTATCCGTTAGAATTACTTTCAGAAGTACTGACTACAACTCAGCAATTACTATCACCTAAAGTATTTATTATCAATGAAATAAGGTGCAATTCTTTACAGAAACATGAAGAATAAGAAACTTTTGATGGCTGCATCCAATTATATCTCCTCTTCACAGGTGGTTTATCCTGCCTTGTGAAATGCATCAAGTTAAAGAATTGCCACTTTGAATCCGGTGGATCGAAACCAGCAGCAATTGCTCTGTCATGTCTACGCCGTATCTGGTTATAGTAATCCATCATGTTCTTCCATGCTACCTTGATCATGTCACCTACAAAGGACATTAGCAATAGAGTGCGAAAAATATACGAGTACTACATGATTCAGAGATCGCTAATTTAATTTGGAAATGATTACTTCTAATATTTCATTTTGCCGCTGTTTCCTTTCAGTAAGATTTGTTGCAAGAACTACAGTTCCATTTTAAAGATTGAGATTCTTATTCATAAGCACGTTTCCAGTCACATCTTGAGCGTCTAGTTATCAAGATCCCAAATGTCCTTGAAAAACGCCTTAATTTTCAAGAATTCGTTGGAAGTGGCCATATTACTCAGAGCCTTTCCCCAACTAATTTCATACGACTCTATCCCTGCATGTGTAAGAAGAGCCCAAAACGCGAATACGTGGCACGTCATGTCATATAATATTAATTCACCGTAACACCGCAATTTTATATTACTACTGACTCAGAGATAAATTTACTTGCAATTATAATTTTCTTGTAATATGAATGGAAAATGCATAAAAGGCACTGCACAAAAATGCAATATTTAAAACAATTTATGCAACTAACTGGTAAAAACTAAATCATCATCACTCAGTTCATGGGCTATTTCTTCAAAAGCAAGCCAACGAGCAGGAATATCGTTATATCGAGGGTCAGTGACCTGGAAAAAAGATATAATTACAGTCTATATTCTTTGAAGCTATCAAGGAAAACGAAAACATCATGAATTCCCAAAGTTATTAGCAAATGATATAACTTTTTGTTTAAACTTACTTTCCAGATAAGCGGTCTTCTATATACTTCCTGAACAAGCAATGTTTTCTTTTCGTTATCCATGCCAAACATTGCCATCTTTAGATTTTAGTTTATTATTTTATATTAAACTATGCAAAAACAAAAGCCTGAAATGAAATGAACTAGCTACAAATGCGCAGACGGGGAGATCTTCTACAACAACTATAGGATCCTCAACATGTCATTAACATAACTGCAGAATGACGAAATCTCAAGCATTCTAATGCACAGAAGGAGTGATAGCAGTAGACCAAAATACAATTGGTACTTTCTTTGATTGACGGCTATCGACTTTCCGAAGAATACTACCGCCGCTGTCCAATCAACGATTAAGTTATTTCTAAATTTATCGATGAACGAACTCTGATTGCGCCTCTCACTCTCCTTACACGAGACTCAGTTTGCATGAAGGCTCAAGAATTCCACTATACTACCACAACCTTAGCCAACTCTGCCACCTACTTCAAATTCTCATCTGGTACCATAAGCTAACGGGCGAGAGCTATAGCCCTCATCTCTCGCTCCCACGTGCCAAACCGCTCGCATACCTTAAAGCGCCAGAGAAAAATACGGCCCATGGTAGACCGCGACGCAATAAGACGATGGAGTGGAAGCAACAGTACAGATAATGAGCCATGCTTAATTACTTAGGTTTTCATATACGATAGCATAATGTAGTCGTTTGACTAGAGAACCACTCGATTTAAAGATACGCACTTCTCAATATCAACAGCAGATGGCTTATGACCTGACACAGAACAGTATATCTACTAGAACAATTGTCTAGTGCGCTTATATGTTGACTAGATATTCCATATGTCCATTATAATCCTTCAGCCAGTATCGACCATAACTTCTAGGTTGCAATCCTACTAATATCATTTGTAACTAAATCAATCCAAATCATTTGCTGCCTCATGTGGTTGAAAGAAGGTAAGACATTTATATCAACATGCGCTCACAAAATTAATGCCAATTGCAACAAAAAACCACATTTCATATGTTCGAAGGATAAAGCATTATTCTGATACGTTTTCCCATCGCTTGTGGTGGGAGATTACGATGAAACTTAGCTCGCAGTGTGCCGCCATTACCATGCACGCGTATCAATTTCCCCCATATAGCACGGACTCGGCTCGGTTCTTTATTCGCCGACTGGAACACAAAATTAACTAGTTGGGCTTGTATCATTGATGCAAATATGGCAAAACAGAACTATAAGACAAACAGGTAAAGATGTATAACGATGACCATCACAAACAGAATGGATGGATCATTATATAATAAAAAATGAAAAATAAAAAAAAAAAAGAAACATCATGGAAAAAAGGGAAAGAACAAGTGGTAAGAAAATGACACTAAAAATGTGTGACATAGATGACCATCTGTAAAAAATATCGTCCTTCCCTTCCCTTTTATGAGGAAAAGGTTATAAACAAGTGCATAGAACTGGCGTATTACTGATATCGAGATATGCAGATCTAATCGACAAATGCAATGAATACACTTACCCTGATCTTGTTACGCGCCTTGTAAACGTATAATGCACGTTTACCAACATACCACTGGGCATCATTCTTGTTATAGACACCATCCAATTTTAACAGGGCTGTATGCTCGTGCTGATTTCGCTGTGAACGTTTGTAACCTGCGAATACAGCTTTAACATAAAGACGACCAGCGGGATTTGGACCATGCTGCCTAGCTTCGCCAACAGTTTTTGCCATAACTGAAAGACATTTCATTCAACCAGTGTATTGCTTTTTTAGGTAAGTATTAAATTAATAAGAACTTCATACTGTATCAGTTGCACTCAGTACGCCCTACACAAGTGGAAACCATTTACAACTCAATCAAAAATACCAACCTTAAAATTTCTAGCATATAAAAATGAAGAAAAATTAATAATGTACAAATAAGATTAGCGACTTTAAAAAGAATTCAATGTTGCTTTCCAACCATTTATGTCAGTGAAATTCAAAGAAGCAATTCTTAAATACACAATGGCAGAGAATTCCTCAAAAAACATAACAATACAATTACCAAAAACACACAAAAATACTTCTTAGATAAAAACAGTAAATAAATTAGTGAAGGAAGCAATTAGTAAAAACATTCATCTTTGCAATCCATGACATAGCATGGTATCACAGAAACAGTTATAAATTTCAGTGTAGAGGAAACATACCGCCGGAAGAACATCAAAGAATACAAACAGTAAAATAAAACAGTACGGTACCATCAATTGAATCCTTCAAACTGTAGTAACCTTTAAAAAAGATGTCAGCAATGCGGAACATTTTAATAAAATGATGGTTAGTGCCTAAAAGAATTATTCTCCATAAAGCAGAAACTTTAAACATAGCTATAAAACTTAAAAAACTAATGAAGCGGTATGAAAAAAAATTCTCGACATCAAATAAAATCGAAACATCATATATCCTTAATGACAAAAAATGGGAAAACAAAAGTTCTCAAATAGTTTAATATGAGATGAAAGACAGCTAACAATAAAATAACCACTGAGAAGTTGCAACCCTAAACAGTTTTCTAGTTTGATGTAAAACTCAGATCACAGTTTCTTTCTAATCAGTCCAGATTTACACACACATTAGTCGGTGATGCTATATATATATATATATAATTCTTCGACTAATGAAAAGTGTAAGAAAAAAGAGATAACAATATCGTCCAAAGCCAGGTAATGTTTCAAAGAGCTAAGTTAAAGCTTCAATGATCTCATCTTATCCGCACAACTACTGAAAACGAGCTTGTATTAACCAATCTACACAATGATGCATTAATAGTTATTTGCTTTAATTAATATATGCATAAATGTATTATCATTTCACACTTAGAAGTTTAATAAAATCTTAATTTAATATCAATAAGATTATTTATTGCCGCCAAAACCATCCCTTTACCAAACCCCCAATCCCTTGTTGACTCGCATCCTGTTTATCCTGCTTTGATTTGGCTCCTTTTTTTACCTTTTCATTGCTTTGCGATGTTCCCTTCTTCTCGAATCCATAAGACGCGATCTTCGATTCTAAATCCGGCATCTGGAAAAATATGTTTTTTTTTGGAAGACAGTGAAGACTATGAACAATTATCAAGTTTAACAAAAATTGGTGGAAATTCAAGATCATTTTTTAATATCACTAAAAATGGTACAAATAACAACGAAACACTAGCCTTTATATGATTCAGGGCTAAGTCAAAGAACATGGGTTTGTTCGGCATTGGAATGAATGAAGGAGGCACTGATATTATGCGAATATTTTGCTCTGTTTTATGCAAGTCTTTGGGTGTGATTTTACGAAATTCGTCCAAAGTATCGATGATAGGCTAAAATACGTAATGAAAGTTATTTAAAATCTTTTGTTCCTAAAAACACTCGCCGATGTACGAAGTATAGCAAAGCTCACCAAAAGTTATGAATAAAACCACATAGATTGTACTTCAATATTAAAACATTTAAGAGAAAGCCTACAGAATAGCAACAAAAATGAAGTCAAAATCGGAAGTATCAGTTTTAAATTCAACAAAAAACTCACTTTATTATCGGAATTTTCTTGTTTTTCATCCCATTTATTGCCACCTGCAGCTTCAGCAAGACGATTTGCTTGAGTAGAAAATTTTGATGCTGTTATTTGTTCATGCAAATTCTTCACATCAATCTTAAATTGATCAATTACAATTAAAAGTATCCATAGGAATTAGAATGAACTGTTTCAATAAAAGTTACTGAACTAAGGTTTTAGAGCAAGATAATAATGACTTCTTTTTCTACGATGAAAGGGTTTCCTTCCGCATTTTTTAGCAGCAGTGAAGTGTTCAAAGCTCGATCTACAGCCCGATCGTATAAAACATTAGCTTCATTCCACTTTGCTAAAGCTGCATGTGCCTCAGCCAAACAGAAGCATCTAAACGAAAAAAAAAATGCTAATATTGCACGGAAATGACCAACACAAGCCATTCATATTATAAAAAACTCTTATATTCGCAAAAGTACCTCGTTTTAAGAGAAAACGAATAATACATGTTTTATCTGGAAACGAGTACGTTGAAAGGAACACAAAACTACCACCACCCTGAATAAAGTTAAGAAATGAATAAAGCTATATAAGTTTCAGTAACATGCAGACATCTCGAGAGTGAAAGTTTAGAGAATACAATGTAAAAGTAATAAATCAGTGGGTGAAGAATAAGGTGATATGAAAACTAACATGATGATCAGGATCAAACAAATAAAGCTAGATATCCTGAAAATTTATTAAAAAAAAGTGAATTCAACTATAGAAACAAAAAACCTGAGTGCTCGATAATATTCTGCTTTCGCTTTGTATGCTAGTTCCAAATCTTTATTTTTTGCAACACCTGGCAGTTGCAAAATTAAACAACTGTTTTCAATCACTGTATCGCATAAACGAATCAGATCCTGTGGTTTGATTTTCTTTTCGGTCTGTGTCCTAAAAAGAAGAACCGATAATAACATATTACAAGTAAACATTTGTAAAAAATGCACTGCAAAAATTGATGTTATTCGGACATCTTTAAAGCATGACTTTACAGTATGGAAGATGAATGAAATATTCTTTCATTTAGTCAAAAGATCTTAGTAAGATTATTAGATTTCAAACAGTTTACTTTGTATGTGTAATGATCATGACGTAACGTTCAATAGTTCTTTTGAGACGCATAAATTCCAGATAAATAATAGTTAGCCGATTCGGAAACTGTTCGTCACCAATGTGAGTTTTATTATCAACTAATTTCTTCTGTTCCTCATTCAATACTTGTATTACATCGCGGATACTGCTTAACAGCTGATCATAAAGAGTCATCTGAAAAGTCATTTCATGTATACAGCTTAATATTTATGAATGTATATTTTCCGAAAATAATTCATTTTAAAAATACATTAATTATAAAAGCATATAGTGAGTAAGCAAGAAAACACATCAAACTACAAAACAAATCTTTGATTGATAAGGAATGTGACTCAGTGACTTTAAAAAATGTGACTCAGTGATTTTAAATCATTAATAGTTATT